AAAACCCCCACAGTAAAAATAAAAAAATTCACCCCCATGCTCACGCACAAAGGCAAACTGCATCAGTAATCCCATGGCGGTATGTAAACAGATTGCATCAAGCATGTGAGGTATGACTGAACATCAGATCGAGGGCAGTAATTCTAGCACTAGACCTCCTGAGTAAATCTAAAGTGGTTACCTGTAAAAGACTTAAAGCATCTCCTAAAGATATTACAAATTTACGCAATTTGTTGCCATAGCACCAATGTGTGCAATTTTAAAGCATGTCATGTTTGGTATCCATTTACTCGGCGTAACATTTTATACTTTAATTGGGCAATATATTGTGTTTTTGTGCATTGAAATTCTTTAAAAAGGTGTATTTTTTCTATACAAGTGTACTGAAAAATTGCTGCGCAAATACTGTGAAAAAATGTCAACACCCACCATTTTATTTTCTTGGGCCTCTGCTTCAAAAATGTAAATATATATAAAAATGTTTGGGAGTTCAAAGTAATTTTCTAGCAAAAAAATGTTTTAGGTAAACTGTCAAAAAAGGCCATGTCTTCAAGTGGTTAGAAAAGTCTTTAACGACAGTCGTGCGCTGGAGCGATTGAGGCATAAAACCAAATCTCAACAAGCATTCACCCTATATAAATCTGCTCTCTTAACATACAAGTCCTCCCTTCATGCTGCTAAACAAGCCTACTTTGTCACTCTTCTTAATACCTGGTCATCCAGTCCTAATCTCTTCTCTACTTTTAACTCTACTTTCTCCACCCCCACCCAGTACTTCACTCACTGCTCACGAGATTGCAAATCATTTCAAAAACAAGATTGACAATTCGTAGGGGCATAGTCACTGCACAGGCATCCATCCCACTTAGCATACCTTATACTAAACCTCCCTTAACACTTTCCTCTTTTGACCTTGCCACTACCGAAGAGGTCACTAAGGTTCTCAGAAGCCTGTCTCACTACCTGTCCCTTGGATCCTGTACCCTTAACTACTACGGTCATCCTCTTCCATCCTATGCTCCCTCACATTTTCAATCTTTCCCTCTCTACTGGTGCCTTGCCCTCCCCTCTAAAGCATGCGCACATCACTCCCATACATAAAAAGCCCTCCCTGGACCCCACCAACCTGAACTTAAGACCCATCTCCCTGCTGCCATTTACCTCGAAACTCCTAGAACGCTTCGTCTACAATCACCTGAGCTCCCACCTCACCGACAACCTTCTTGACTCTTTACAGTCTGGCTTTCGCTCACTACACTTCACTGAAACTGCCCTACTAAAACTCACCAGTTATCTACTAACTGCTAAAACCAACGACCACTACTCCGTACTCTTACTACTTGACCTCTCTACGGCTTTTGATACGGTTGACCATCCCCTCTTCAAAAAACTCCACTCTTGGCCTCAGACTCTGCTCTCTCCTGCTATCTATCGCAGCGCTCCTTTGTTACCTATAACGCTGCCTCCTCTTCACTCCCTCTTTCTGTAGGGGTCCCTCAAGGTTCTGTCCTTGGACCCCTTCTCTTCATCTACACCTCCTCCCTTGGTCACTTGATAAACTCCCATGGCTTTAAGTACCATCTCTATGCTGATGACACAAAAATCTATCTTTCTACCCCTCCCCTCACATCACTAACCTACTAAGTGACATATCGGCATGGATATCACTCCACTTCCTCAAACTCAAGCTTTCCAAAACTGAGCTCTTAGTATTCCCCCCAGCCTGTGCCCCCTCCCTTGACTTCTCCATCACAATCATTAGTCCCTCCCCTCATGCCAGGGTACTAGGTGTAATCCTGGACTCCCATCTGTCCTTTCAGCCCCAAAACCAATCACTGTCCACATCTTGCAGACTTCACCTCTGCAACATCTCCAAGATACGCCCGTTCCTAACCTCGGAAACTACTAAGCAACTTATCCACTCCCTTGTTATATCTTGCCTTGACTATTGTAACTCCCTCCTCATTGGCCTACCTCCTCGCAGGCTATCCCCTCTTCAGTCTATCATGAATGCTGCCAGAATCATCCACCTTACTAACTGTCTATCTGCCACCCCTTTCAGCCAATCCCTCCACTGGCTTCCCGTTGCCCAATGGATAAAACTCAACACTAACAACTTAGCCATTTATAACTCTGCCCCAAATTACATCACCGATCTGGTTTCTAAATATCACCCAAACCGTACTCTCCGCTCCTCACAAGACCTCCTACTCTCCCTCGTCTCCTCCTCCCATGCTAGTCTCCAGGACTTCTCCAGAGCTTCCCCCATCCTCTGGAACTCTCTACCCCAATTTATCAGACTATCGCCTACTCTGCTCACTTTTAGGCGATCTCTGAAAACCTCAGGGAAGCCTATCCTGCCCTCAGCTAATACTGGAATCTTCTACTCCTCCAACCAGTCCATCCCCCACAGTTACTACCTTTTGTACCACTAGTCCCTCCCTCCTAGATTGTAAGCTCTAAAGGAGCAGGGCCCTCAAATCCCTCTTGTATTGAACGGTATTTCTGCTGTATTGTCTCCCGTTCTAGTGTAAAGCACTGAGCAAACTACGCTATATAAATCCTGTATATTATTTTTATTATTGTTTATTTCTTGCATAAGCTTCAAATTTTCACCCTGAAAGGCCAGGATAGTGAAAGCATGTTCACCCTGAAATGACAAGGTATTTGAAAAGAGGCATGGTGAGTATTTTGCAGATCTCATTTGTTGCCACAGGTGTTTGGAAAATGAACATAAGAAAATGTATTTTCTTTATGCTTTCAAAATCCTGTGACAAAATTGTCGTGAAAAAATGCTCACCATGCCTCGTATCAAATTCCTTGGGGTGTCTACTTTCCAAAAAGGGGTCATTTGGAGGGGCGTTTGTACTAGCTTGGCATTTTAGGGCCTCAAATGGACAGGTAATAAGGAAGGGATATGAGGAAATATGCCCTTTGAAAGCCTGGAGGTGGTCAGTGGATTTTGAGGGCATGTACGTGGCTAGGCTGCCAAAAAGTCTCAAATGTGGTACCCCAAGTAGAATGTTCTTTGGGGTGTTATTCCACATTTATGTGTATAAAAAAAAAAAAAAAAATTGTCATTTACCACAAATTAGTGGAAGAAAAAAAAAAAAAGTAATTTGGGGGGTTTGTACTGCCCTGGAATTTTAGCACCTCAAGAAAGGCAGTCAGAAATTAAGAGACATTTTAGGTGGTACAGGGATGAAAAATACTCCTAAATACGTTGAACCCCATCTAGCTCCAGCCATCTGTCCCCAACATCCAAAGTGGGAACTTACACAGTATCTCTCAGCTCTGAAAGGCAGGGGGCAGTGAGTCTGAAGTTACAATCAGCGAGGAGAGCTCTAAGAGCTTATTAGAGGGATACACCCTCACAGCAACATAGCTGAAGCAATCACAGGCTGTGCCCTCCCCTGTCAAAATGGTTCTCATGCTTATAGCAGGGGAACATGAAGGGGACAGAAATTACACTTAGTGCTCTGGATTGAGACAAGTACACACTAGAGGGATACGCTTTGTTCATATTTTAGGTCCGAGGCAGGGGCAGACTGACAACTCATGGGGCCCCCGGGCAATAGGGAATCATGGGGCCCGTGTCCTTGCCCAAACTCAAAAAAGCCTATTAAAAAAAAAACCTGGTACCAGGGGCATCTCATGGGGCCCCCTACTGACCCCGGGCCCTCGGGCAGTGCCCGAGTTTCCAAATGGTCAGTCCGCCCCTGGTCCGAGGTTTACAACAACTTTAAGGCAAACTCTCCATTCCTCAATAGTAAAAAGGAGCTAAGTGTCCTTTCATTCATTCATGCTTTCCCAGCCCCCACGAAGTCAGAATACAAGGGTATGGGCAGATGAGGATGATTCCAGCATGTGTTGAAATCAAATTTCAAATTAAGTTTTAGTCTCCAGTCCATTTTAGTTGACTAAAAGCTAATGGGTTTAAACTAATGCATTTCTGTAGGATTTCCAAACTCATACTCCTGGAGTAAAGGTCACATGTTATTTATAGTATTAAGGTTTGAAAATGCATGACAAATTTAGCCATTATGATATATAACCAGTTAAAATGTCAAGTCAAGTTTCAATTCAGTCTTTAAAAATATGCCATTTTAGTGTTGATGAAAATATTTTAGTTGTCTAAAATGTCACTAACGAAAGCAACACTACTTTGACAAAATTAACACTGGCATTCAGTACTATATCCAAGCAATCCATTACCAGGTTTCATGCATAAGGCACATATCCATAGCAACTTGAAAGTTAATTTGCATAAGGGAAAAAAAAAATAAAATAAGACTTGCTTGAAGATTCCGTATCTTGGACAAAAAGGGATTCCTAGACTGGAAAGCCAATGAATCTTGCCTGACAGAAGACAGCAACAGCACCTTACAGTCAAAGCATGAAACTAGAACTAAAAAGTAGTTGTAAAAGCCCAAGCATTTTTTACCTTAAAGCATTCTATGCATTGAGGTGAAAAACTGCAGCAGCCCCACAAAAAAGAAAAAAAAAAAAATTATTAAACATGCAGAAGGGGTCCCCAAATCCCTCCTCTGCACTTAAAAGCATTAAAAAATACCAAGATCTGCGTCTGAATGCTTTTATTTGAAAAATGGCACGGTTTACTTTTTACTTCTGAGTAAACCGGAAGTGATGTCAGGTCAGTTTCCAGTTTACTGTAACGGAGAGCCGTTCAAAGCCAATCACAGGGTGGCTGGGGGGGGGTTAATGCGTTGGGATTACAAAAAATGTACTGGGCGCATGCCGGTATAACCAAACGTCCAGCAGTACGTTGCTGGATGGAAAGTGGTTAAAAGGCATTTGATCCACTTTTGGCACACCATCTACACCTGCCCTGTCTTTGTACCAGTCTCACAACTTACCAGTTGCTCCACTGAGGATAAACCTAGATTTCCATTATCTTCTGTCTTATCCAAACAGTTTAATTCTGACTTGTAGCCAAACAGGAATACCTATGATAGGGAAGTGAAATGTGCTTAATCAACTCACTCTTCATCATCATCCTCCTCCTCGTCAAAATCCTCTTCATCTGCTATTTTTGCTTTTTTCTGTGGAACCTTTGATGTAGAAGCAGCTGCAGCCCTTTTTGCATTTTTTACTATGGCAGCATTTTCTTCTTCCTCCTCCTCCTCTTCATCCTCATCCGATGACTCCAATCCTTCTTCCAAGGCTGTCAGTGGAACAGGATTTGGATAATTGAACAAGGCAAGTTAATCTAACACTACAATAGTGTATTTTGCTTTTGAAGTATTACCAAACTGATTATCTGCCCTACTTTGTACAAGTAAGGCACACAAATACTCACATATGTAAACTGTACTTTAAAAAGGAGGTTTGTACCTTTATTTTGCCTTTCTTCTGGGTCACGCAATTGCTATTACCAAAGCAGCATTGTCCAGGTCAGGGGCAGTGCTAATTGCAGAGCATCAAGTCCTATGACATCACATTAGCTTTTGCACTACCTCCTGATGTATACCATTCAAAGGAGAGGACACAGTCGAACATTTCATCCACTTTGGGAACAAAGCATGTGCCTGACTAACAGTTCACTCTGCTCTGAAAGGTTTGAAAAAGGATGCAAAATAGCTACACGGTACGAAACTGTGGTTTAGCTCCACCAGTGAAAACCGTTCCCTCCTGACCTAGTAAGTAAGCCATGTATTGTAATTAACACCTTGCTTCACTAAATGGGGAGCATCCACACTGTCGTGGCAACACTGCAGAGGCTATGAGCATGAGCCTGCAGATCACCAGGAAGAAGGAAGCCCCAGGAACTGCAGGATCACCAATTCCCAATATAGGACGTAATAAAAACAAAGGGTGCAGAGATATAAAAGTTGTAATTAGGAAGATTTAAAATTTTCTTGGGGCTTGGAATCATTACTATATACAATTAAGCCCACTTGGTACTTTTAACCCATTTTCACTGGGCAAGAGGTGTGATTTCTCAAAATTGCCTCTGGGTTCCCAACATACATTCAGAAGAGTGGCAAATGTTTTAACATTTTTTAAACAAGTTCCCCAAGCTTGAGTTTGTTTTAGACAATGTAAATCTAGTCATAAGGAGATTGTTTAGGCTTGATAAATTAAAAGTTTTAGGTACTCCCACCAAGGTTTATAGGACCAATGCCCCTTACTGTGTGAAAAGTAGCTCAAGTACCAGTTTGATTGGGCAAAGAAAAAAAAACTGCTTTTAATGTACACTTACCTAGGTGGATGCAGCATTAATCCGATGCTGTATCTGGCCCCCTGCCCCCCCATCGCGCCCCCCCCCCCCCCCTCGAAGAGCGAGAAATCAGTGATCACATGACCAAGTTCTCACAGCTGCTTTGATCAGAGAGCGGTCACCGCTTGTCTGCTCTGCATGCATTCCATGGAGCACTGGGCTGTGGAGTGGGAGGGAGCGGCTTGCCAAGAGGCTGAGCCAGATTCCGATGCAGACTCTGGGGTGGATCCCAATCCCGATTTTTAAGTCAGATCTTTCCCCAGCCTGGACCGGGCTGAGCGACTTCAGCCTGCTGTCAGATGACAGGTCACAGGGGTGCAAAACTAACTGCACTCCTATGATCCACAGAAGTACTTTAAGTTAGAGGGGTCTGAGCGCGCAAATGTGAACAGGCAGCGTTTAAAAAGCATGTGATTTTGGTTGTAGCTTGGAATGTGAAGATCCAAAAAGCTCAAAATGTGTGAATCTGGGATTATCTGGGTATCTGCAAAGCAATTACTTATATCCCATAATGTGTGCTGCCACTTACACAGCAGAGCACCTCCATGGTTACTTAAGTCATCCACTTTACATGGGAGCTGCAACATTAAGGCATTGAGGTTTTCAACATTTAGTATGGGGTTTGCGTTTTGAAATATTTTGCAATACAGACAAAAAGTACCAGCAAACACATGCACACTTGGGAAGGTACTAAAGATTTTAGGTTCAGGACAATACGCCAAAGGATTTTATTCTATTCAAACCTGCTCATAGTGCAAAAACCCAACAGATCACATCCTCTACAGCAGCCAGAATGACCAGTGCCTGGGACAAGAGATTGTTCAGAGCAAATGACAGTCCTTCAGAATATTGATTGTTTAAAAGGGGATAGAGTTTTGAACTCCATTTTGTACCACTCTAAAAGTAATTGAAAGGGAAAGTGGTAACAGACATCTCCCCAATTTTAGGGGATAGGATGTACCTTTAATGTTTACAGGGATTTGACTGAGGAAGTATTAGGAGAGTGCAAGTTGCAAGTGACTGATGTGAGATTGGCAATGCTGCTTTTTTTTAGCACAGGAAGGAAGAACTTGCCTGTAAACCATGTAGCATCAGCACAGATACTTCCTGTACCATTCACAGAACAAAATATCAAAATGGGCTGAGCACTGCTCTGCCATTCAATGGAAGCTGTATTTTTTATGAATACAAGGCTTCCACTAAGGAAGAGAGTTGGTAAAATGGCATCACAATCCCCAACCACAGCCAGAGAAAGCCATGTGTATTTAAAACGTGAATGAAACTTGTAGCATGGCTTTAAAGAATCACTGCTATATACAATCAACCATAAAACCATGGAACCATGGAGCCAATCTCAGTTCTTATCCATTATCAGGTGGAAAGATCAGCCTTTTTCAGCCAGTGTGGCCGGGCACCCTGGGGTGCCTCCAGGTTTCTTCAGAGGTGCTTTGGCAAAATGCAAATTGTATACAAGCTAGCGGGTGGATAAAGCGTGCCTTTTCACTACACAAAGCCACAGTTTTTCATTGTGCAATATTACAAATGTCCCCTGTGTGACTGGCCCTTAATGCGGTAGTAAACTTTTTTGGAAGTTTCCCCCTGCAAAGAAATAGAATGTGCTAGTATGTATTGTATACTAGCACATTATGTGAAACTTTCCTGAAAACAAGCGCACTGTCACCGCTCACGGGACTTCCATCTTCACACATTCTATCCGGGTTCCCGTGCTTCAGCTGCTTGAATGGCTGAGCTGCCGATGTCACTCCTGCACAGGAGTTTCGGCCACGGCACACAGCTTTGAAGAAATCGCACATGTATGCCAATGTCACTGGCTGCAGCTCTGTAGAATCTCCTAAACTGTGCAAGTTAGAAGATATTTATATTTTTACCTACAGGTAAGCTTTATTATAAGCTTACCTGTAGGTAAAAATATAAACAAGAGTTTACTACCAAATTATCCCCAATCTGATCAACCAAGCTGTAGCACTTTCCAGTCTATAGCATGGTCAGGAAGAAGTTAGACAGTTTACATTAAGACTGGTGGAACAACCAATTTAGCATTACTTACCAATAAGATGCTGCCCACTCACATATACAGGACCAGAACCCGCCTTAAGTCTTAAAGTCACTGGAGGTGTAATTTCAAAGCCGCCAAGAGATACCTAGAACAAAAAGATTTACACAAATTATAACACACACGGAACAGAAACCTCACTCACCAACATTCACCTGATTAGGAGCATTGACCGCATTAGAGCTTTGGGAAACCTATTTAAGAGGCTGTGATCACCCACATAGAATATTGCTATACAAATCGGATCTACAAAAGGCTCATTCTAGCAGGTTTTGCCTAACAAGCCATGCAGTTGATGAGCACCCAAGTACGCAAACCTTTCACGCAGAGATCACTGGCTAAGGAATGCCGAAAGTCAATGCATAGTCTCCAAGACCGTACAGTCAAGAGCAGAGCTCTCATTCAGCATAGACACCAGGCCACCCATTCCAGAGTACGCACAGAACTCTAACCTGAGGACAATGTTAAGCACACAGTCCCTCAGACTTAAAGAAGGTTACTCTAACATTTCATATTCCCCACTTGTCTGTTGTACCGTGTACTTAAACCAGTTCTCTTTGTATTGCTTGTGTGAAATACCTGGTGATTTTGCCAGTCCTCTTGCTTCGCCATTAAAACTGACCACACTAAGAAAGGGAGCATATCCATCCCATTGTGGTCAGTTTCATGGCTGTGTTGGAAGAAAAGCCTACCCATCTTCAAATGCTTGGAATTGTGCTGACATTGCCCCTGCATAGCCATTCACTGGGAAGATCAGTGTACTGCTGTTTGTCCACTTCACCTTTCTAATCCCCTTTCACAGCATAGAACAGATTTTTCTTTCCTTAATGTTTTGCCTTCCATTACAATTTTAAAGTGAATAAACGGTTTCCAGAAACCCAAAAATTGTAGCTATTGATAATTAACAGCCACATGGGGGGCGTGAGATATTAAAAAAGTGGCTATGCAAACAATGTTCCTCCCCGTTTGATTATTTTTGATAACTATATTAGGATAAGGACACTGATTAAAAAGTGTTCCTTCAATTTTTTTGAGCAGAGTATAGCATCAAGTCAATTAAACTCCTAGGATATTGATCTGGTCAGTTAAGTAGAAGAGGGGGTTGTTAATCGGTTTCAGCTGCTTTGGGGTTAATTAAATTAACGGGTGAACAAGATGGGCAACAATGAGACTATCCCCAAAACAGGAATGGTTTTACAGGTGAGGCCACTGACATTTTTTCCCCCACCCATCTTTTCTGACTGAGTCACTAGTTTTGCATTTAGCTAGGGTCAGTGTCACTACTGGTAGCATGAGAAGATACCTGGACCCTACAAAGGTTGCTCAGGCAGTCCAACTCCTCTAGGATGGCACATCAATGCATGCCATTGCCAGGTTTGCTGTGTTTCCTAGCATAGTCAAGAGCATGGAGGAGATTCCAGGAGGCAGGTACTCTGTACCGCCGTAGGTCCTTAACCCATCAGGACAGCAATCTACTCCTTTGTGAAAGAAACAGGATGAGCACTGCCAGAGCCCTACAAAATGACCTCCAGCAGGCCACTGGCCTCAATGTCTGACCAAACAGACTTCATGAGGGTGGCCAGAGGGCCAGACATTCCCTAGCGGGCCATGTGCTCACTGCCCAGCACCATAGAGCTCCCCATTGAGATTTGATGTGTTCTCAAAGTGTTCCTTTAATTGTTTTGAGCAGTGTATTTCTCTAGACAATAGGATTTATTTTATACATTTAATATTGTTTTGTGTAAACTGTAAAATGTAGCCCATACAGGAAGTACTGTATTTTATTGTACTCCATTTCATTTGACTTTTTTGCAATACGGCGCTGCATTAAATTAACTGACAATTGCACAGTCATGCAACGTACATAAATTGCAAATTAAAAAAATCCCAATACATTTAAATTGGTTAATGTGAAAGTTACAGCGTCTACATATGGCGACATTTTACACACACACTAGATTGTAAGTTCCAAGGAGCAGGGCCCTCCTTTTCCTCTTATATTGTTGCTGTATTCTCTCCTGCTATATTGTAAAGTGCTGAGCAAACTGTTGGCGCTATATAAATCCTGTATAACAATACACACACACCCTTTGTCTCCCGCTCCCTTAACCTACTAGCAATTACAGAAACCTGGCTTCAAGCAGCAGATTCTGCTTCTCCCGCAGCACTTTCCTATGGAGGTCTTCTCTGGACCCACTCACCCAGACCCAGTGGTCGGAAAGGTGGTGGGAGTTGGTTTGCTCCTATCCCCTCTGAGCACCTTTCAAGTCCTCCCTAACCCTCCCTCTCTATCCTTCTCTTCTTTCGAGACTCACTGCATTCGGCTGTTTTCTCCCATCTGAGGATTGCAGTGATCTATCGGCCTCCTGGACCGGTATCCAGCTTTAATGATTTCTCCGCCTGGCTACCCTACTTCCTCTCCTCTGAATTACCCACCATCATCCTTCGGAGATTTTACCATCCCTATTAATGTCAACAATCCAACTACATCAACTCAACTTCACTTCATCTTTTGCATTAGCACAATGTATACAGTCCTCCACTTACTGATGGGAATAGACCCCCTTTCCTCTCTCTGATCACAATCTCATCACCTTCAGTGTCCTCATCTTCAAACACCTGTCCCTCAAAGCAGCAATTACCCGCAGAAACCTTCACAACTTGAACCCTGCTCCTTTCCACTCTGCAACTGACCAACTCTGACAGAATCTCTCCCCTATCATGCTCTGGTCACTCCTGTCTCCAACAGTTTGCTTTCATCCACATTAGACTCACTTGCTCCTCTAACAAGCAGCATCAGGCCCCGACCGTTACAACCTTGGCAGACTGACACCAGAAATCTTAGACAGTTGTGCGTTTAAGGCGTAAAACCAAATCTCAACAAGCATTCACCCTATATAAATCTGCTCTCTTAACATAGAAGTCCTCCCTTCATGCTGCCAAACAAGCCTACTTTGTCACTCTTCTTAATACCTGGTCATCCAGTCCTCGTCATCTCTTCTCTATTTTTAAATCTACTTTCTCCTCCAACCAGTACCTCACTCACTGCTCACGAGATTGCAAATCATTTCAAAAACAAGATTGACACAATTCGTAGGGGCATCGCCACTGCACAGACATCCATCCCACTTAGCATACCTTATACTAAACCTCCCTCAACACTTCCCTCTTTTGACCTTGCTACTACCGAAGAGGTCACTAAGGTTTTCTCAGAAGCCCGTCTCACCACCTGCCCCCTGGATCCTGTCCCCTAACTACTACGGTCAACTTCTTCCATCCGATTCTCCCTCACTCACATCTTCAATCTTTCCCTTTCTACTGGTGCCTTCCCCTCCCGTCTAAAGCATGCACACAACACTCCCATACGTAAAAAGCCCTCCCTGGACCCCACCAACCTGGACAACTTAAGACCCATCTCCCTGCTGCCATTTACCTCTCAACTCCTAGAACGCTTAGTCTACAACCGCCTGAGCTCCTACCTCACTGACAACAACCTTCTTGACCCTCTAGTCTGGCTTTCGCTCGCTACACTTCACTGAAACTGCCCTAATAAAAACTCACTAATGATCTACTAACAGCTAAAACCAATGGCCACTACTCCGTACTCTTACTTCTTGACCTCTCTGCGGCTTTTGATATGGTTGACCATCCCCTCAAAAAACTCCACTCTTGGCCTCAGATTCTGCTCTCTCCTGGTTCTCCTCCTACCTATCGCAGTGCTCCTTCAGCGTTACCTATAACGCTGCCTCCTCTTCACACCCTCTTTCCATAGGGGTCCCTCAAGGTTCTGTCCTTGGACCCCTTCTTTTCATCTACACCTCCTCCCTTGGTCACCTGATAAACTCCCATGGCTTTAAGTACCAGCTCTATGCTGATGACACACAAATCTATCTTTCTACCCCTCACCTCTTCAGTCTCCTCTCACATTACTATCCTATTAAGTGACATATCGGCATGGATGTCAATCTACTTCCTCAAACTCAATCTTTCCAAAACTGAGCTCTTAATATTCCCCCCAGCCCGTGCCCCCTCCCCTGACTTCCTCATCAAGATCAACCACACAATCATCAGTCCCTTCCCTCAAGCCAGGGTACTAGGTGTAATCCTAGACTCCCATCTGTCCTTTCAGTCCCAAATCCATTCACTGTCCAAATCTTGTAGACTTCACCTCCGTAATATCTCCAAGATACGCCAGTTCCTAACCTTGGAAATCAATAAGCAACTTATTCACTCCCTTGTTATATCTCGCCTTGACTATTGTAACTCGCTCCTCATTGGCCTACCTAATCGCAGGCTATCCCCTCTTCAGACTATCATGAATGCTGCTGACAGACTCATCCACCTTACTAACCGTTCTGTATCTGCCACCCCTCTCTGCCAATTCCTCCACTGGCTTCCTGTTGCCCAACGGATAAAATTCAAAACATTAACAATAATGTAAAGCCATTTATAACTCTGCCTTAAATTACATCACCAATCTTGTCTCTAAATATCACCCAAACCATACTCTCCACTCCTCGCAAGACCTACTCTCTAGCTCCCTTGTCTCCTCCCATGCTAGTCTCCAGAGCTTCCCCCTGTAGCAAGTGTGCACACAGAGATGGACACGGTTCAACCATTTTGCTCCAAACCCTCCATCTTGTAGATCCTTCTCCCCCTCTTGGATCATCTCCCCTCCCTCTGTTCATTTACAGTGACATGTGGCCAGAATGATGAAGTGTCACAGGCAGGTCTGAGCACAGCAGGAAGCTCCAAGCTATAAAACATCTGAGCTGGGTGCCAGGTTGTCCAAGAAACTGAGCAATCTGGCCCCTCGTAAAAAAGGATAACCCAAGCCTTCTCCTCAGTTCAAAGACATTCCAGGGCAGTCAAAGATACCACTTTTAAAATACATTTTCCCCCCTATGTCACATATCTTGGAATATGAGAGACTTGCATAAAAACCAGGTATATCTTCAGATTGCTCACGATCAAATAGTATTTTGTGTCACACTCCCTGGCTGGAATATATAGGAAAGCAGAAAATTACATCTCTTGAACCGTTCAAGTACGTATTTCATATCTAACCGTTCCTCAGATGCATCTGCATATTAATCTACCCATGAATGGAATGGTTCTTGTGCCTAGGAAGAGTTATGAGCCAAAATATGAGCTATGAGAGATTTTGTTTCTAGTTTGGGTCTCCGCCCAGACACCCCTCCCCAAATGAGGCATTGGTCCTGGGCTCCAGAGACACCCCCTGCTGGGGGACTACAAAATAGGCTGTCAGGCCTAAATGGAAGTTGATGAATTCTCCCTTTTAACATCGGAAGCAACTTGGAAGATGCCCTTTTGCTCTGAAACTTTATCTGCTTAACCCAAGGCTGACTGGCAAGTACTTTAACCCTTTAACCTCCTGTTACCTCTTTGCTGTGCTATTGTTCTCTGTATATATAGATATAGGTTACATCTTTATGTAAATATTTTTATTGCACCCTTTTGACCTTTTAGTAATAAATCTTTCTGAAAGTGTTGAACTGTTTCTATAGCTCGTTAATGCAACTTACGAATTCCTGCCGCTGAACAGAGCTACTATGTGTTTAACCCTCTGTATAACCTGTCTGCGGTGACAGTGGTGTACAGACTATTATCTAACCATCATAGTGTTATTGCCAAGTTTCCTTTATTTCTCAATCCAAAATAGAGGTGGTGGCAGTGTGAAGGGTTAATTGCGTAATTAACCTGACCCAGTAATAATCACGCTCAGGCATTTTGATTTGTGGTCCAGTGAGCTGAGCAGGGCATTGTTACGCACGTGACATCACGGTTGTAGATTGGCTAGTCCTTCGGTCACGAGTTTGGCGAGGTGGTCAGGAGTCAGACGCCGCGAAAGTCACACCCCCCATCCTCTGGAACGCTACCCCAATTTATCAGACTATTGCCTACTCTGCTCACTTTTAGGCGATCTCTGAAAAAAACTATCTATTCAGGGAAGCTTATCCTGCCCTCCGCTAATAATGGAATCTTCTACTCTTTCAATCAGTCCATCCCCACAGTTACTACCTTTTGTACCACTAGCCCCTTCCTCCTAGATTGTAAGCTAGATTGCAGGACCCTCCTATCCCTCTTGTATTGAATTGTATTGTTGCTGTATTGTCTCCCGTCATATTGTAAAGCACTGAGCAAACTGTTGGCGCTATATAAATCCTGTATAATTATATATACACATAAACAATTTTTTTTTTACACTAGTAATGGTGGCGATCAGCGACTTAAAGCAGGACTTTCGACATATGGGGGGGGGGGGGGGGGGGGGGGGGCGGCGGGGGGGGGGGGAGCGGGGGTCGGCTACTGAATGTCACTGACACCAACACTGATCAGTGCTAATAAAAAGCATTGACACTGTACTGACACTGGTCAGGAAGGGGTTAACATCTGGGGCAAAGGGTTAACTGTTTTACCAAGTGTGCTGTACAAAGCAATACAAAGAAGCCTGTTCCTGCTGACAGGAGAGAGATCTGTATTGTTTACATACAGACCTCTCCCCTATTAGCGCCGCTGATGATCACAGAGTCCCGGACAAGAATCGGCTGCCAGGACCCAGTGATTGACATCCCAGAGGAGCCAATGGCAGAGCAGTAGGGAGCCCCCTACCTGGAAATACAAAATCAATACACAATTTCGCACAGCACTGCCACCCTGTAGCAGTACTTCTGCTATAGTGTTGTCGAGAAGCGGTTAATTCATACTCGAATTTTTTCACTTTTCCTGTCATTAATCTAATTTTCTGTAACATGTATAGGAAATGTTTTTTAGTTCGGATCTAAAACAAAATGACAGCCGTTTGTATTTTCAACCACGGCAAAATGGTGCCTTAACTGGAGGAGATGCCATTTAGTTCCTGGGGCAGCTTCCTGCTGGTGGTTTGGGACCAGAAGTGGTGTAGGTCTGTTCTGTTTATGGGCTACACAAGTATGGCTGTTGTACACAGAGGCTCCCGATGATGCATGGTCACGCGAAACAGCGCTGAGCAGAGCGGACTTGCTAGCGGTCCTGCCACCAATCCTTGCTGGACTGGCAGCCTTCATGTAAAATATACCAAGCGGCATCTGAATGAGTTTATGTGAATGTTTTTTACGTGTATGTACATTTCAGATCATCAATACAGCACTATGAGCACCTTTTTGCATTTGGCGATTCCTTTGGATTTGAATGTTGATGCTGACAACCATGGGTGAAGTGCAGCCTTCATTTTTGAGAGATACCCTGCAGGATAATCCATAAGGCATATATTTGCTGTTCTATCCATTAGACAGCATTGGATGGCAGAAAGCCTGCAATATCTTTATATGGTGAAGGATAAACAGTGGGCATGGGGAGAACTGGAATAAGACACATTGAAGTGTACACTTCATTTAGCGCTGTTATTTTTTGTATATACAGTATGCTCTGACAGTTTGCTGTATATCTATGCACATTGCAATCAGCTAATTTTTTTTTGGACCGCTGACTCAAATTGTCTCACAAATTGCCTACTGCTCTGTTTTTCTGCGTAGATGCCCTAAAACAAGTCATGAGGCAATCTCCAGTATGGCTACCCAAAAAGGTCCCCCACATGTACACCTTTCCAAGATGTATACTTGGTAAGGCATTTGACCAATTTATCAAAAAGGTCACAGGTGGGAAGGTTGTTTTTTTAAACTACACAGCGGAATGTCTCAAAACCACCTTCAGCAGCCTCTAGTTCCACAAAAGATCTCAGCCATCATCTTCCAGATCAAGGGAAATCTGCTCTTCATCTCAATGTCCTCAATCTCATATACCAAAGACAGGATTGTGAAAGTGGACATCCTAGCCTGCAGATTCAAACTACCTCTGTTGCCAGAACCAGGGACACCCTAGCCTCAGATGCTTTGATAAATCAAATTTAATAATCCACGTTCAGGATAATTTACACCTTCATTCCAGTAGGAATCCTACCTCATCAGCTCAAGGTAGACCGATATAGGACTGATTCCCTTTGCACTAAAGTGGCCTAGAAGAATGTAGTACAAAAACCATTAAGACTTCCATCAGACAACCGTGGGCTTTTCTAAAGAGGTCAGATCTGCCATCTCAAGGTTCTCTATCTGATCAGGCTTCTCAGTTTCTGGCTTTAACCAACATGGCCATCAGAGTTAAAGGTAGAAGGGTTTCAGAGTCTGATTTTTACCTTGCTAAAGTCAAGAAGAGCCTCTTCAAGACATTATTGCACCTTGAAATGTTTGCCAGGTGTAAAAAACACAGAACTTAATTTTAAGAGAACCTGAAATTGGCATCAAGTACTTAAGTTTAGGGCTCCTCCCCCCCCAGGGCCTCTGGGGTCACTCCTTTGGAGGGCCAAAAAAAAAAAAAAAAAAAAAAAAAAAAAAAAAAAAAAAAAAAACCACACAAGGTCTCCTCATAAGGGGTTTGTTCATCTTTACTAAAGACTGCCTATACCAGGAACAGAGTGCCTGTGGATAAAATTGTGGAGCTTTAACTAAATCTATAGGTGAAGGCCATTTACTTACCTCCCAGAGCCTGACTGAAAAAAAAACTGCTAGAGGCAACACCGTCCCCCCCACACCCCCTTTTCCAGTCTTGTTGCTTGGATCTTGCAAAGACACTCCTGGCCATTACTGCTCGCCTCCATCACAGGAGCAAGCTTTGTATCAACCACCTCACATGTACTCTCTCCCCCAGTAACAGTAGCTTTAAGAGCTCACTCCTGAAATGGTGGGGGTAGACATAACAGCTGGGACCATCTTTGCAATAATGTAGGACAAAGAAAAATGCCAACTCAATTTTTCAGTCAGGCTTTGGGAAGGTATGAAAATGGCCTGCACCTAAAAGCAATAGCATCCATCTATGGCCAAAGCTGCAAAGTTTTGTTTATATATACACAGGCACCCCTTACCTGCATAGGCAGTTTTTTGGTAGAGGTATGCCAACCTTTAAGCCCACACCCTGTGCTTCCTGGTGATCTCAATTTTGTGCTCATTGCCCTGCAGAAACCACCCTTTGCATCTACCAGTTATATCCCCCTAGAGGTGCTCATCTTTTACTTCATATTAAAAAAAAAAAAAAAAACACAAGCAGAGCTGTGTAAATACTATACCGTTGGTTGTACAGATGGTTTCAAGGATGCAAGTACAATCTTTATTGGTTTTGCTTGATAGTTCATTCCTTCAGCTTCAACAATATGCAGCTCATCTTTAGCACCAGCACCCAAAGTAACCTGGAAAAGTGAAAATCATTTATACCATGAATCTGCACAATATCCAATTTAAGGACCTTACAAATAAAAAAAAAAAAAAAAAAAAAAAAAAAAAAAAAAAAAAAAACTTATAGCAAAAAGGGGATACTGGGCTTGTTGGGGGTTTTTGTGTACAAAAGGCATAAAAAAAAACAAGTCAAATATGCATTCAGGTGCTCCCAGAAAACTGCATTTGGGCACCTTTGAAGATATCGCATCTGTTCAGGGTTTTGTTTTTTTTTATTATTAGACTAGAATAAAAAGCCACCTACAGGAGAAAGACACTACAGTATACCACCTCCCTGCTCAGGAATTTTGATGTACCTGTAAATTCTGTATCTTGGAGTAAAAGACATGAATAGATTATTAGATCACAGGTTATATGCCGTTAACTTTCAGGTAGCTGGGCACTGAAAATCTTTGCTGGGTCTGCCCCTGGTGTCTCGATAAAATCCCACCCACTTAGTGAGGCTCCAGTTTTGTTAGCAAGCAATAAAGAGATCAAAGAGGAGGTACAACAAATTTCTTCTCACTGTACAATTCTGTATTTTGGCGCACAGTACAGGTCAATGGAATAGATTCATATTCCACAGGACGTCCATGCAATACTCAAGAGACAGGCAACACAGCTAACCAGTAACAGGCCCACAGAAAAAAGGTCAGACCAACAGTAGAAGCAACTAGCAGCAACAGAAGCCTCATATAAAACACCCAGCCAGGTGGAAACTGAGTGAGGGAACCTACCTGTAAGGAATTAGAAGGGGGGGAGGTCCCAAGGGAGACAGAATTAACACTTGACCCCTAAGAGATGGATACCGAAATGCTGTGAAAGAAAGCACACTTACAATACAGTGGCCGAGCTGTCAAATACAGCTCTCAGCCTTTCCTAATGATTGGGGTGCCAGTTCTCAAACCACATAACCACTGACATCCAATCAAAGTGGTCACGTGATCAGCTATCCTTCCCATCCAACAAGGCATGAAGACCTCAGTAAAGAGACAAAAAGGTCTTCATGAGAAGTCAAAGCTGTATTAAACTCAAAAATGTTATATACTGCAGCTTACCAATCAGATGTGGTGGCTTAGTTTTAAGATAGGCCCCCCTCCCGTTTTCATCTAGTGTCCTGCCAGTAACACCTCCATTAGGGTGACTACACACTGGATGAAGGAGCAACAGACCTTTGGACAGCAGAATTGGTTGTTGAGTGGGGTGCAAGGGGGGAATGTAGTGGGTGGTTGGATGATTGTTCGATGCAGCAGATTTAAATATACTAACTGAAGCTAAACTCCAGCTAAAGTTGGTATGTTAGAATAAATGAGGAGTGGTTGTAACAGTGCAAACACTGCAGAAAGTCCTGGGAAATAATAGTATGGGGTGATGGTGGTTGTGGCTGTTGTATGAAGAGCGTAGGAATCCGTGTGGCACTGAGGGCAAGGCTTCCAAATAAGCTGTAGCAGGCTCTGTAGGTAAGAGAAGGAGAGAAGCTCCTCTAAGTGCAATAAACCTCTTTATTAAAGTATCTGTAGAAACACATGTGTAAAGTAATGAGCATAAACACCGTAGTTAACAATAGTTAACAGTGGGGTGGTAACCAGGGTGAAGAGCAGTCATCTCTGTGGTGTGGGGAGGTCCGCTTTCGGCTGGAACAGTGTGGTGGCTGGAGGGGAACAGCGGTGAGGCCGGCTGGCGTGCACGTCCTCCCTCAGAGCCAGATGGAACGCATGCTGGAGCGCAGCGGTGGCGTGGCTGTGGCGTCAGATCCTAAGGTGCACTGCGACGCGTTTCAGAGCATGCGTGGAAGGCGGAAGTACGCTCCTTTTTCAAGTAGGGGGAGGTGGAAGGACAAGGACGAATATATAGGGAGCGCAAGTCTAATTAATCAATTAACCAATGATTAGCCATTATTGCTAGGCGAATAGTGGAAAGTCATGGATGTTCTAAAATGTCAGAATGGAAAAGGAGAGGAAAAATGAAAAGTAAGAGATGTAATAAAATTGTGTAAAGATGAAAAAATGGTAATAGGTAATGGGGTTAAGAATAAATATAAAACCAAAAATAAAAAAAAATAAGTAAAAAAAATAAAAAGTAAAAATACAAATACATTGGAAAATGAGAATTGCACAGTTAAAAATATGAAAAAAGAAAAAAAGCTATGTGGAAAAATGTTGATGGGATAAAAAGGTACAGAATTAAAAAACCCAAAGCAAATTTATATATATATATATATATATATATATATATATATATATATATATATATATATATATAAAAAATTGGAAATCAATTAATTAAATTTACAAAAATGAGATTAGTAGATGTAGAGGAAACAAAATATATATTTTTTTTAGTGTGGGGTAGGCGGTTCACCTTGCAGCACTGGTACATCAAATATGTACAGTGGTAAAGGTGACAAACATATTGGTAACAGTACATGCAAATGATATGAAAAATAAAATTAAAATTTAAAATTAAATAAAAATTCCTTCAATCATTTTAAGTTAATTTTATGTATTTAAGGAATTTTATTAATTTAATTTTTATTTTATTTTTCATATCATTTGCATGTACTATTACCAATATGTTTGTCACCTTTACCATGTTAATATCCATTGGTAGTCTACCCACTACTAACATGCATAAATGCTACTATTATGAAGCTCCTGCAGAGCCATAACCATATCTCACCTTTTGCAATTACGCTGTATTACAACCAAGTATCTGTTCACTACTGTTACATATTTGACGTGCCAGTGCTGCAAGGTGAACTGCCTACCCCACACAAAAAAATTTAAAAAAATGTCCCCTCTACATCTACTCATCTCATTTTTGTAAATTTAATTAATTTCTAATCTTTGGATTTTTTAATTCTGTACTTTTTTTATCCCCATCAACATTTTTCCACATAGCTTCCTTTCTTTTTTTGTATTTTAAACTGTTCAATTCTCATTTTCCAATGTATTTGTATTTTTACTTATTTTTATTTAATTTTCTTTCTTATTTTTGTTTAATTATTCATTTTTAATTTTTTTTATTTTTATTTTTATTTTTGGTTTTATATTTATTCTTAACCCCATTACCTATTACCATTTTTTCATCTTTACACAATTTTATTACATCTCGTATTTTTCATTTTTCCTCTCTTTTGACATTTTTGAACATCCATGACTTTCCACTATTCACCTTGCAATAATGGCTAATCATTGGTTAAATGAATTAGACTCGAGCTCCCTATATATATTCATCCTTGTCCTTCCACCTCCCCCGCTTGAAAAAGGAGCACACTTCTGCCTTCCACAGCTAGCGCATGCTCCGAAACGCGTCGCAATGCACCTTGGGATCAGATGTCATCACGGCTGCGCTCCAGTGTGCGTTCCATCTGGCTCTGAGGGAGGACGTGCACACCGGCCGGCCTCACTGCTGTTCCCCTCCAGCCACCACGCTGTTCCAGCCGAAAGCTGACCTCCCCACACCAGAGAGATGACTGCTCTTCACCCTGGTTACCACCCCACTGTTAACTATTGTTAACTACGGTGTTTATGCTCATTACTTTACACATGTGTTTCTACAGATACTTTAATAAAGAGGTTTATTGCACTTAGAGGCGCTTCTCTCCTCTTAAAGTTGGTATGTTATTTAAAACCTTTATCTCAAAAGGGAAAAAAGTTGGTATAAGAGCAGATCACTTTAAGCACCACTGTTCGTGTTAAATGGTATCAATTCTTAGCTGCTACATCAGCAAGACAGCTTGTTCTGTTGAAAAGACTTACTAGCAGGATCACCAGGTGAAAAGTCCAGCTTAAACTAGTGTAGCTTACCAATTTGTGGATGTGCTAACTACAATACAGTAAAAGGTTTACTTTAACTGCTTCCTTACAGGGCACTTTTACCCCCTTCCTGCCCAGGCCATTTTTCAGGTTTCAGCGCTCTCACTTTGAATGACAATTGCGCTGTTATACAACATTGTACGCAAACTAAAATTATATAATTTTAGTCACACAACTAGAGCTTTCTTTTGGTGGTATTAAATCACCGCTGGGGTTTTTATTTTTTGCTAAATTAAAAAAAAAAAAAAGACTGAAAAGTTTGAAAAAACACATTTTTCTTTGTTATAAAAGTTTGCAAATAATTGTTCTTCATAAATTTAGGCCAAGATGTATTCTGCTACATGTCTTTGGTGAAAATAACCCAAATTAGGATGTATTTTTTAGTTTGTAGGAAAGTTAAAGTTCACAAACTATGGGATATATCTGAATATTGATCAATCCTGAAGTACTGACAGCCAATCTAATTTCTTGAGGGCCAAGAATGTCAGAACAGTACAGATATCCCCCAAATGACCCCTTTTCGCAAAGTAGACAGTCTGACCTACTTCATAACAGGCATGGCGAGTTTTGACGTATTTGTCAATTTTTCAAAAAATGAAAAAATTACCTTTTTTTACATACTGTCACCAGTGCAGTACAGTGTACTCATAACTGGCATAGCAGTCATCAGGGACAGTGACTGGTGACAGTATGAAAAAATTATAATATTTTTAATTACATTTAAGATTTTTTCATATTTCATTATGACCAAAGTAGTAAATTGTGTGTAAAAAAAAAAATACTGATCACCTCTCCAAAGTAGTACAATGTTAATTCAGTAATTCAGTGTTTTTGTGCTTAGCTGTGATTTGCCCAGCTTGTGCATGTGATCGCTGTGACCATTCACAGCTAGACACTAGTACACAATGGATGGCATGAATGAAGCCATCCATTGTATACAACTGTCATGTGACCTGCTGTGATTGGTCACAGGTCACATGGTACCAGCAACAGGGTCGGTACTCAAATCTGTCATCGGCCATGTCCGAGGTACACGGCTGGTGACAGATCGCGCCGCTGCGCCCACCCGGAGGGACGAGGGGTTTTGCAGGCCGCCATCTGGCTATAGGCCAGGCAGGAACCTGTTAAAGTGGTTGTAGAGGCCCAAGGTCTTTTTTTTTACCTTCATGCATGAAGGTAAAAACCTGTGTGCAACGGCCCCCACCCACCATACCTTACCCAAGCCCCATCCTGATAAAGTGACATGCACAAAGAGCCTCGGCTCTCCCAGGTCTCTGACTCATTGGCTGAGACAGGAGCTGTAGCCATTGGCTCCTGCTACTGTCAATCACAGCCAGTGAGCGAATTGGGAGAAAGTAGGGGTAAGGTCACACCATACTCCATGAGTGAATGGACACAGCAGCGGCTCAGGAGCACCCATAGCAACCTGCAAGAGTGAGGAGCTGGAATGCCAGCGGTGAACCCAAGAGGAGGATCAAGGCAGCACTGTGCTAAACAATTGCATTGAACAGGTTACATATGACATGCTTGTTTAAAAAAAAAAAAAAAAAAAAAAAGCCTTTATCACTTTAATGGGTCCAAAATAAATTACAGTTTAAGACATCATATTCTTTAAGATGTTTGCTGCAATTCCTAAAAACGTCTTACCGTTCTCAAAGACAGCTGATGATCATTTTCATCATCATCCACTTTAAATGCATATTCTTTTTTGTCAGCCTTCAGTTCACAGCCTACAAGAATCAAGATGTTGAAGTTACCATATTGCTGAACAAAATGTACATTTCACAACAAAAACTGACACGCAGACAGTACAGTCAAGGTTTTGATATGCATTTATAAAACATTGTTGAGGCTAGAATGGCAATTTGGTAGTGGGGAGGCGCAGATGAACACAAAAGTGAGGAAAGTTCTACTTTATTGTGAACATAGTAGCAAATATTCATTTTACATATTGCAGATACATAGACAGGTTGAAAAGACAAGCTTGCCGAGTTGATTTGATCGAATAAATACACTGAAAACCTATTTAGAGAAAAAAAAAAAAAAAAAAAGAACCTGAGACTACATTCAGTGTTTTTGAGCAGATTTGCAAATATAGGCTTTCAGGCATATTTCTTCATTTAAGAGTTTTTGCTGTGGTTAATAGAAATAGCTGCTGTAGGAGCAGAAAACACCAGAAAAAAAAAAAAAAAAAAAAACGCTCATTCCCACTGTTCAGGCTTTTTCTATTCAAGTCTATAGGGAAACAAAATGGCCAGATCAGTGTGAAGCAACAGAACTCAAGTGTGAACAGGATGCCACTGGAACAATGGGATTTCAATTAAGCATGGAGCTGAAAAACACGTGTGAACAGGGTTTAAAGCTAGTTTATCGAGAAGGCAGAAAATCAGGTCTTGCCCACATAGGGTGTATTGAGCTGCACTGCTTGATGCAAGGACAGACCGACCAGAAGAAAACTGCATAAAGATGCAGCACAACTACATTTTTACACAACACGTGTAAACACACAGCAGTGAATCACACCAACCACACCATGCTGCTGTATATAGAGTTGAATTGTAATTTTATGGCATTTCAATAGTTAAAGGAAAAGTGAACATTACATTGTTTAGGGGCACTGCAATGCGTTGTTACAACAAACCTGCTTGGACGACATGGACCATTACACATCCCACTGGCATGAAAAGGACCTTCCAAACCACACTGGTTGCAAGCATTGTAAAAGTGCAAGTGTAATGCTGGCCATACACTATACGATCAAATTGTACATAGATTGTACAATCGTCTCAGTTTACAAAATAGAACATACAATTCCATTTGCAGCCAATCAGGAAGGCCCTTGTACTCCAGATGGTAGACAAACAGGATTAACAATTAGACTGTAGTGTATGGCCAACTTAAAAGCATAGTTCACCTAATAAAAAAAAACTGCCTACACAGTTCAGGGGTGCTTGTAGATAATAAACTGCAGCTGGGATCAAAGAAAAATAACGCCCTTGCCATAGATGTAGGCCAGGACTTGACAAGTTTGCTTGGAATCTAGGAGACAGCTGAAAAAGTTAAGAGTCAGGGAGGGGGGCAGCATTACACACCTTGGGAAGCACCAGTACTGCAGCGGCTTAGTGTCCGTGGAGAGGATCTAGTGCCAGGCAGAGTAGCTGAGCCCGTGTCCGCCTGGTTGTGGGCGGCACCATACTGGAGCTGTGGTGAAGCTTGGTGGCGGCCACCACCATCACATTCAAAGCAGCCCTCTGAGCACCTTCGTCTGGGATTTGTCAAGCACTGGTGCACGCCGTTTATGTACCTCCTGAAGCCTAACAAACCCTGAGATCGCATCTGGTCTTGCCTTGTTGCTAGGATGCTGCCAGAACTCCTAGGACTTTGTTCACCTCCATCACAAGCATGATCTCTCAGACTCAAAACTCCCTCACATGTGAAGTAGCTCAGGATCAGCATGCTCATGTAATGGTAGAGGTGAACAGTTAGTCTTGTCAACAAGGCAGGACATTATGGTGCAATCTCAGACAGGACAAAGTACATACCCCTGTGACACTAATTATGAAAGGTACAGATGGATGGAAAAAAAATTAAAGAATGAAATATTGCAGCTTAAAAAAAAAAAAAAAAAAAAAAAAAAAATATAGATGTGCTAGCTTCCCCTGGCAAACCTGCCAATTATGCACTTCCTGTCCCAAGGTTCCTACACTCTGAAAAAGCAACCAAGCAGCATTGTCACTCTGGGGGAAGGGGAGCGTTAAATGTAATAGAAAATTTAGATACACTAAATTTGAAGAAACACGCTATTTTATGCAGTTATACCAACAGTTTTGTTTTTGGGTTAAAGGTTTTGCATAAATAAAAGCCGATAGTTATAGGTACCTCTGTCAGTGGCAAATGGTTGGTCTCAACCCTTTAACTACTACATCTGCAGGAGAGCTTGTTCTGTTGAAAAAGACTTACTGGCAGGATCACCAGGTGAAAGGGAAAAACCCTAGAAGAAAAATGAAAGTAGCAACCATATCTAATAACTGGTAAGCTGCAAATTGTTTGCTTTTGGGTTTGAAGCGCCATTCACATCTGAGCATTCCGTGAAGGCGCATGTTCAAACACATCGTACTTGCCATTCATTGTTAACACCCTAAAACACAGCAAGAAAGCATTTAAAAAAAAAAAAATCACGCTCATGACATCCAAAAACAGCACAGCAGCTTAATTAGCACATTTGTCACACGTAGGACAGCTCACTCAAAATGAGTGTGTAGCAGAGCATCAGTGCTCAGACGATGGCACAGCCCAATACGGCTTTAGGTTAGGTTCATACCCAAGCATTCTGCAGAACCACACTACAGTCCATTTAAAGCAGAGTTCCACTCACCCTGTCAAAAAATAAGTCAGCAGCTACAAAAACTGTAGCTGCTGACTATAACAGCCACTTTTTTTTAATGAAATATGCTTAGTATCCCAAGTATAAATACAGATATAATAAGCGCTCAAAACAAAAAAAAAAAAAAAAAACACACAAGTCCCAAAATAATAAATTAGTCCTTCAAAAACATCAAAGTCATTCAAAATCTCAAAATCAACCTCCAGGTGAAGACAGCCTCCAAAGTAATTTCTGAAACAAAAAAAAAAAAAAAAAAAAAAAAAAAGGAAAAAACAGTGTATTATCCTTAACTTGAATTATTCATTCCATAACGCATGTGATTCACACAAAAACACTAGTGATCACTATATGGTAAAGTGAATAGATGTGTAAATACATGCCTGTGAAACAATCCAGTGATAAAAAACAGTGTCCACTTCTAGAGTATGCAAAATAGATACCCTTACCAAAAAAAATATATAAACACAAGCTTAGTAATCCTCCAGGCAGAGCACTGATATACAATAAGTTCCTCCAGAGGGATCTTCACAGCCACAGTATTATACTCCTCTCCACAGTCTTCAAACGATGCCCACCATAAATGAAACCACAATAGTGTAATTCCGTAAAAACAAACAGAATATACTTTATGTGCTTACATATATCTTCATCTTTAAAACTGCCATCAAACAAGAAATCAGCCCAGCCAGACCTCCGGAAATCCTCAGCAGATCCTCTCCTGTGTCTCAAATAGAGATTTCCAGGATCCAAAATGGCCTGCTCGATCACTTCCGGTTCAGCTGTGCATCTGACGTCACTTCTCTTTAACATGTTTCGTCAATTAAACTTAATCATAAAGGATAGAGACATCTAACAGGAAGGTCCTACTTATACCTCTCTCTGACACGAGCGCCGAGACCAAAGCCGCCATGTCAGAGAAGGGACTGCTGTATATACTACACTATCTCCTCAATCGCGGTACCCGCGGCAGATATACCCACTGTATATACATAAACACGGAGGATGTCACTACCACGGACATCCACATTCCTGGCTATTACATAATACTTAAAAACTTACTCATACATAAGTTACTTCTAAAACTACATAAATACCGGCTTTTACATGTAGTACGGGCATGAATTTTAAGATTAAGAAACTTATTACCTGCACCACGAAATATCTGACATTTACTGGAATGTCCTTGTGGATTCCAGTATGTGGGTAGGACATCTAGGTCATTACATATCAGATTAGGAGAACATCTAACCAATATTAAGAAAGGTAAAAGGACCACTGTCTTTCAAGACATTTTAGGGATGGTCATGACTGTGATCCTAGTAGGTTGAAATTCTGTGGGATAGATAGGATTGAGTCTCATTGGAGAGGTGGCGACAAAATGAAAGCCATCTCCCAAAATGAAACGTTTTGGATATTTGAGCTCAAAACCTTGAGACCTTATGATTTAAATGTAGACTTAGATTTGAATTCTTTTATTTCTAACTTTTAAATTTTTAGATTTATTAGATTCAGAGTAGGGATCCAGTTTAAATATATTTGGGAGAGGATTCTAGTTGATATGAGTTTAATAAGTATTTATTTAATATTACATTATATGTTATAGGTATTAGATTATTGAATATATTTATTTAATTAGATATTTTACTGGAGGGATAGGGTTTTATTTATGGCCTTTTATGGTGATCTTTTTAATTAGATTTTTTCTCATTCATATTGATTTCATTAGGGTTTATTAACATTGGAATATGGATATATTTAGTATTGTACTTATAAGGTTAAAGGTTTGATTAAATATTTAGTGTGCTATGATGGTAATATATAATTGACCTCTAGGGGGAGGGGGGAGGATTATAGAATTTCATAGAAGGTATTTGTTATTATGAGGTATTGTCCTCTGGGGGGGTGCTAAGGGATTTATGTTGTTTTAGAAGTAACTTATGTATGAGTAAGTTTTTAAGTATTATGTAATAGCCAGGAATGTGGATGTCCGTGGTAGTGACATCCTCCGTGTTTATGTATATACAGCGGGTATATCTGCCGCGGGTACCGCGATTGAGGAGATACAGTGTAGTATGGCCAGCGGTCCCTTCTCTGACATGGCGGCTTTGGTCTCGGAGCTCATGTCAGAGGTATAAGTAGGACCTTCCTGTTAGACGTCTCTATCCTTTATGATTAAGTCTAATTGACGAAACATGTCAAAAGGGAAGTAACGTCAGACGCACAGCTGAACCGGAAGTGATCGAGCGGCCATTTTGGATCCTGGAAATCTATTTGAGACACAGGAGACGATCTGCTGAGGATTTCCGGAGGTCTGGCTGGGCTGATTTCTTGTTTGATGGCAATTTTAAAGATG